TAGATGGACACAGCACAATGCCTTTATTTTTATGTGGTGCTGCGGATCAAACCCGGGTCCTGCCAGTGCTAGACGAGTGCGCTACTGCTGAGCCACAATCCCAGCCCAAATTTGGCATTTCTTAAAGCATAGAAAACATAGGAATATCATCACAAGGAAAAATTATTCTGAAATAGCGCTTTTTTTTTTTTTTTTTGGTACCAGGAATTGAACTCAGGGGCACTCAACCACTGAGCCACACCCCTAGTCCTAGTTTGTATTTTTTTTAGAGACAGGGTCTTTCTGAGTTGTTCAACTCCTCCTTAGGTTCCTGAGGCTGGCTTTGAACTCGTGATACTTCTGCCTCAGTCTCCCCAGCGCTGGGATTATAGGCATGCGCCATTGTGCCCGGGTGAAATAGCTTACTTTAAAAGAAATGGAGTTAATTTTTAATCAGTGAACATTATCAAAAGCATTATTCTTGTCATAATTTTTTTAAGATAATTTCTGTTGTAAACCTTGGCCAGTGTTGATTTGAAGCAGTGATGCCCCACAAATAGGGAGCCAGGAGAAAGAAGAGAGAGAATACAAAAATGAATAGAAAAGTCATAAAAGGTGAGGCTCATTGTGTGAATCCCATGTTAATTCTAATGATAAAGGTAATTTCTATGAATAATCCAAGTAATTTATAATCTAATCATGACTCTTGGAATCCAAAATAGGCGTGTTTTACTGTGTTTATGGTTATTTTATAATACCATGCTTTTGGAAAGGAAAATATATAAGCTTTAAATAATTATCAAATTTATTTTACATTCTTTAGTTGACTATGGAATTTTTTCCTGCCTTTATACAATTCCAAAATCTCTCATGTGCAACAATAAGCATAGACTCTAATTTTCCATGCAATTTGCCACAGTGTAAAGATAAATTTTAAGTATGACATTTAACCAGGAGCAGAGCCTGAGCCGCCTTGCAGTCGTGTCTGGGGCCATTCACTGTCACGGTTTCTGTCTGCTGTCAAACCTGCTGTCTTCACATTTTGCATTCAGTGTTCTCTTGCACAGCATCCCCAGAATACATTATTTTTGTGTTTTCAATCCAAACTAAATTGTATGCTTTTATACTAGTCACATGTGTGTGTTTGGCAGGCCACACTTTAGAATATAACGTGCTGTTTTCTCATAGATCAGAAACCGATTCTTCCTTTTCTCCTTTAGTCAGAGTATAAGGCCACAGTTGCAATCATTGCTTTTAGGCTTGTGCTTTGAATCTGTATTACTCTGTTCTCTCACTGCAGTGGCTTTTGCTATTGTTGTGCATGCATGAGAGGTCCTCTCCTTCTTAAGAAAAACAAATATGGGAAAGGTTTCATTAGAATGCATTTTCTGTAGGTTAAGGGGAAGCAATAACTGTAAATTAAAAAAAAAAATCCCTTTGGATACTATTTTGGTCTGCCATGGTGATGTAACTTCTGCCAAAAAAGCTTTCCTTTCTGTTCCACTTCATTCTTCAGAAAATACATAAAATGTCACTTGGGAAAGACTTAACCAAGTAAATAGAGACATTTTGGATCAAAATACACTATGTGTTGCTTTTAAAGGCTTAACTAAAGTTCGTGATTAATTTATTTCTTGTTTTTGGTTACTAGCAATGTCCCAGGATGGCAGAAGCCACTATCACAGAGGACCCCTACTGTAGACATTCCTGTGAGACTTGGGCCTCTGGAACATCTGGGGTAGTAGGATTATGGGTCCCATCAGCAGTCAAGCAGAAGCTTCTACCTGGAGGGAGAGAAGCTGGGAAAGGGGTGCCAGGGAGGGAGGGAGGTATGCCCCTGCATAACAACCAGATAGCCTAGAGCCCAACACGCAGGGGAGGTCCTGCAAGGGAGGCAGCTCCTGGAGGTTGCAGCAAGACACATAGAGATGGGAATGACAACTGAAGGAGCTGATAGCATTTCTTTTAAGCTGTGATGAGGCCTTTGAAGTAACTCAAAGGATGATGTCAGCATCAGCAGACTAATGGTGATGTGGTCTGATAAGAGATACTTTAGCATAAAAATATCCAAAATGGATATCATTGTGCTGCCGTGAAAATGGATAATGCTTTGAAGCTGTAGATTTTTGACAAGGTGTGTGTGTGGTGGGGGCTTCTGTTACATGAAATTCAGAACACTATTGTGAGTAATTTTTTTCCTTATGTTCTCCTGTTTTTTTAAAAGACACTATTTATCTTTCAAAACAGTTAAAATATACTAAAAAAATTAAATGTGACAATAGTCCAGTAGCAGTACTATTGACTCCTACATGCAGTACTAAGAGAAACTATTGCCTTACCTTGGAGAGAGCTGCTGTGTGGGCCAATCTGCAGGTGAAGTTCTATTCAGCAGTGAAAAGAAAGCAGTCCTATTGAATACAAGCTGTCTCTGTCCCATTGACAAACAAGGATATTGAGTCAAAGGCCATTTGCGTCACCTGTCTAAGAGCTTTTCTCCAAAATGCGGTAAAGTCAGGATGAGAACCAATATACTCAAGATCCCACCATCTTATACATTAATTTCCTCTTTGGCCAGAAATATAATCTTTAGTAATATTGGATGGACATTGCATTTAATATTCCTATAGCATCTTATTTATTTGATTATGTACAATATTAAAATATTTGCAGTAATCATGGTAGCCTGAGAATTGAGAATTTTTTTTAAATGCAGAAATAAGTACAAGAAACCAAAGTCAATAGCATTAAAATGTTTTCTCTTACATCAAAGACCTTGTGCCACGATTACTGGCAAATACTTATGCAGTCATCTTAAATAAATCACAGAGGCTGAACGTGTATATATAGGGAAAACAATTACTTAAATGAACCCACAGAGATGTTGAATATCTCCACCTCAAGCAGGTCATCTTTGCTTGAGAAAACTTTTTGGAATAGGAAATACTATTTTAAGTTCAAGGACTGAAGGATTAAACCAAACTCATTTTTATTTAGTCAGATGTGAAAAAAATACAGAGTTAATTGGTGGGAAAGATCGGACTGTACCAGAATCCAATTATGGAGTCTTCAAAATACTAGTGAAATAAAAGTTAATGAGACATTTTAAGAACATTAGAATTTTATGATACTGATTTGTTTTGAAAAATGGCAAGGATAAACTTAAATTTAATATGATGAATTAAATTCTCTGTGTTCATTTTGGAATTTCAACAGAAAGAAAATGTAATTAAATATGTGTGTGTGTGTTTCCAATTATGAATTTCTTTTGTTCTTTTCTCTCTTTATATTGATCTTGATCTAATAATTATCAGAAAAGTGTGGTCAGTTTTATTATTATGTCCTCTGAATTATAGTAAATGTGTAGGGATGGATTACTCCAGTCAGCTCTAATTCAAACATGATGAACAGATGCCATCATGTAATTACAACCATGAATCTATATTATTTTAATAAGTACTATAATAGGGAGTGAATTCGTTTGGCATAACTATAAAGTACTTATTAAAATGTGCTTTTCTTCCCTTACAAATAAAGTTAATACACATTAATTTTAATATTATAGTAATTAACTTGAGTATTATAAAGTTACTTAATTGTATAGTCTTTAGAAAATATTATGTAGTCTTTTTTAATGGACATAGGCTTATTTTATAAGTAAATGGCTATAATAAATCAGTTATTAAGTTATTCAGTTCTTAAATAGCTGGGTCATAAGAAGATGGATTATGATCTGTAACTATATAAAAGCAAATGAAAGAAGAGTGAGAGGAATTACAATCATGCACATAAAATATCATCTATAATTATTTACACCAGAAAATTATATCTGAGAATAAAAACAACAAAAACTGGTAACCATGAAACTGTATTAATTTAAAAATTCAAGTATTAGCAATTATTTTTTAAAAATGTTACTTATTATATTTCCAATATAGCTATATTAGACAAAGTAATAGGTACACATGTTTTTAAAATGATATGCTTTTACAAATTACTTTGTAATTTGGTATATATATGGAAAATTTATTTTTATTCCTTTACAAAGCTTTGAAATGATTTTTTAGTGTTATCAATTCAGGGATACATCTTCATTTGTGGGAGATAGTCACAACTAGTAATACACCTTGAACATATCCCAAAAATCTAGCACTAAATTGACAAATATATACCAAAAAGCAATTGAAAAAAATAAACACAGTTTTATAGTGTAAATTATATGTTTTAAATTTGTATGTATATTCGTGTCGTCCATTAGACTGCAGAAGTTTCAACAACAAGGGCCACATCTTATTTATGATATTTTATTCTTAGAGCTTATCACAACGTTTACCATGGTAGGGAATTAATTTTTGTATTAGGTAGATATGCTTCTGACTGTAATCAACAGGAAACTCAAGGATCATAGCTTAAATCAATGTAGGTAATCCTTCTCATCTGACAAAGAAACTGGAGGTATGCATTCTAGGCTTTAAGCAGCATCTCAGTCATGAAATGTCTCTCTTCACCTGTCTTGTTCTCAACGTTGTTACATGTTATGAGAGGGACTTCACCTTGCTTTTCCAAACCATATCCTAGTTGAGGTAGGAAGAAAGCAGAGCAGTGAGAGCTTTTCATATTGATGCTCTCTTCTGAGCAGAGGTTACCTGCCTGTCTTCCCCAGGTGGAGATCATTAGGGAAGAAGGAGACTAATCATGGTTTGTCCTCTGGGGTTGCCATAAGGATTTCTGCACACAGAGTAGAATAGAGACTTCGTTCAACTTCAACAAATTGGGTTTAGTTAGCAGGAGCCAAGGAGACGATTGTGTAGTTTAGTAGACAACAAATATTCCAGTTTTTTTAATTTTGTGATGGACAATGTTGCAATTACAAATGCATGAATTCTTCTATAATTTTGGTCATACTGGGAGAGAAAGTATGCAATACTGAAAAGATGCTTTGTTTTTCAATTGGTTTTCTCAGTACAGGGCTTGATCTAACCATGACAATGGAAGTTCAGATGTGTGCTTATGTCCTTTCCTAGGCCTTGAAAGACAAAGATGAACCTCGATTCCATTCATCGATTAATTGAGGAAACTCAAATCTTCCAGATGCAACAGTCGTCCATCAAGCCATGCTGTGACAAGGAAGCTCCTGGCCCCTGCCCTAGGGACACCTGCGGTCCCTGCTTGCCACCTTGTGGGCCATCCTCTCCTGCAGCCTGTGACTTCAGTGCTCATCCCTTCAACACCAACAAATGGGACCTTTGTGAGGAACTCCGCCGGCGGGAACTCGAGGAAGTCAAGGCCAGGGCGGCTCAGATGGAGAAGACCATGCGCTGGTGGTCGGACTGCACTGCCAACTGGAGAGAAAAATGGAGTAAAGTTCGAGCCGAGAGGAACAGTGCCAGGGAGGAAGGAAGACAACTCAGAATAAAACTAGAGATGGCCACGAAGGAGCTGAGCGCCCTGAAAAAGAAGCAAAGTCTGTCACTTCAAAAGGAGGTGGCAGAAGCCACAGTAACCCAGGACCTGGAGCTTCCTGGCTTTGAAGGGTCCCACCACCGGAAAGACCAGCTTCAAACTAGTTCACCCATGTGTGGCTCCATGGGTTTGGAGAACAGACAACTTGTTGAGGAGGAGAACACAAAAAGTAAGGTAAGAAAAAATCCGCTCAGGAATCCAGACATCTCTGCCCTTTGAACTTTGTTCAGACCCCTGGGGCAAAGGAGAGGAACAGACCCAGCAGCGCCTCTGCCTGGGCCAGGAGGGCCACAATCTGGGTGAGCCACAGGACAGCAATCTGGGTGGGCCATCCAACACTGATTCACTCTTCCACAGATCTAGGGGAGAGAAGTCCAGGACTAAGGTGTCTGCCGGATTCCCTTCTCCTGAGGCCTCTCTCTTTGGCTTGTAGGGTCTTCTCCCTGTGTCTTCACCTCATCTCTTCTCTGTGTCCAGATTCCCTCTTCCTACAGGGACAGCATCACTGATTCCTCTCCAATGCCCCCTTTTAACTTGATCACTGCTTGAAAGACCATATCTCCAAAGACAGCCCTGCTCTGAGCTACCAGGGTTGGGTATGGAGTTTTCAGGAATAGGATTAATCATATTGTGAATTCACTAATATAGCAAAAAAAATGGTGCAGCATTTAAAAAATGTGAACGGAAAATGTTTGGAGAGATTTCTCTCCATTCACCCTAAGTGTGTCAACAATCATACATTATTAGAGGAGGTTGTTGCTTAAGGCTTTAGACTAGCCTTGCTACTTGGAAAAAGATAACTTTGGGCAAATATAAAGAATACATCCCATGATTCATACTTGGAATTTCTAGAGTTGTTTGCATCTTGAGATTTATGGGAATTCTGCATAAAATAAAGTTTCTAAAAAATGTGTTTTAATAGTTCATACATTCATTTATCAATAATCTCCTCCCCCTTTTTATGACCTGGTAAGTGCTTAGGGACATACTTAGGGAAATTTTAGAAACCCATGAAAGCTTGGTCCATAAAATCATATTGTTACCCCATCTGTGAAATTCCATCTCTAAAAACCTGTTGGTCAACGTCTTGCAGCTTTAGAATTTATCTAAAATCTTAATTTTTTTATACTGTTTGCAATTTATGTTAGATATAGTCTATATTCCATTGCAAATGAAGGATTTCAATAGACTGAAGTAACATGATTATTTCTACTGGTTTGGTCTTCTAATTGCTTTTGTTTACCTTGACAATGCAGGCTGCTAGTACCTTTATGTCTATCTTCCTAGGAATGGGAATTGTTCTCCAAATTCAATTTTGTTAGTATATAAATTTGGAAATAGAGATTGGCTACAGGAATGTAGTCAATATAATGTGCCATAAATCCACAAAATATTTCTTTATTAATAGAAGTCACTAGACTGTATTTGAGAAAATGGAAGATTTTCTGTACACATATTATGCTGGGAAATTCTTAAATTCTTACACTTTCATTTGGAATATCTTTGTGTCATTAGTGTCAAGAACAAATAATACATAGATGTATTTATTCAAAGTTTTATTTTGGAAAAAATACATAAAATGCCTTGTGAACGCAAGAAAATAAATGTTTTCTATTGAAGAAATTTCACTTGGTTTCTTTACTTTGACAAGTCTCACTGCTAGCTCTGAACACACAAGAAGAAAACCTGTGAACATAGAACTTAGGTGAACACTTTACTTAACCAATGATTTTTTTTTCTTAGACCTTAAAAATGAAATACAGGACTAATTTTATTGTTTTTAAAGTATTGTAAATAATTGCAATATTAATTATGAAGACAATTAAGACATGGATAATACTAGGTAACTTGGTGTTCACATAGTATTTTAAAAAGAAAATACTACAAATCAAGTATCATTGAAATTTTAATTGCACTTAGCTTTCTTCTATTTAATTCTCATAAGTCAGGTCAAATTTAAATTATAAACAATATCCACAACATGAGTTCAACGGAGTTTTGGAATTATTACACAGGATTTTTGGTTCAGTGTGCTGTCCTGGTAATCGATGCCCATGTTTATTAAAATGTCTTAATTTCTATGTGAGATCTGACTAGTGAACTAAAATTAAACAAGCATGCATATTAAAACATTCAGGACCCTCCTGAAAATTCATTCTTTTTATCCCATCCTTCAAAAAAATGTTTTAAAAAATCATTTTTTTACTTTGAAACTCTCATTGCCTTGTGACAAAATAAACTTTAAAAAAGAACTAATCAGTTTATTAAAAACTCTACATCTATTCAAATTTACCCAGGTTTATTTTTAGTTGTGATTAGGAAAAGAAGACAAACTGCAAGTTAAAGTGGACCCCTGGAGAAATTGTTTTATAATCATGTTAGAATACAGACAGAAATAAGTTTGAAGGAGAATGTGATTTTGTTGGGTCACACAATATGACCCTTGGGGAATGATAATGAAATGCAAATATAGATTTGATGTTTATCACAACATTTATTTTCCTTTGAGAATGTTTCGCTTATGAGTTTTCTTCTGAGTCTAAAATATTCAACACAATAATTGGATTATGTTTTCCTTTTCTCAGGAAGAAGGTGTGGTTCTGGATTCATTAAGATTAAATGAGGAGATGAAACCAAATCCAGATAGCACTGATTTGTTCAGGAAGGGTGGTTTTGGAAGCTGTGCCCTGAAGCCTGGGCTGAGTCTGCCAGCAGGGAACCTGTCCCCTGAGAATGCAGTGACTGAAGTCTCAGCCTGGCAGCTGCCTTTGGATGACTTCCAAGAAATCCTGTGGAAGGAGAGAGAGTAAGTGCTCATCTTTGTATCCCTGAACAGAATTCCTTCAGTCTGATAAGCTGGTCATTTGATGATGCATTTGACCTA